TATTTAGTGAATAGTCCACAGGGTAAGATGAAAAACATTAATATTTTAATCTCTATAAGGATGAATACACTCTACAACAGAAAAAAAATTTCTTGACTTCCACATATATTTTCATGAATGTATTAACAGTGTAGGAGACTGAATGGCTGATCCTAAACTTTGCTAGCACACTGGAATCACCTGGGGAATTGTTAAAAAATATGATAGAAAATAGTGTGTATGGAGGTTCCTAAAAAATTAAGAATGAAGCTGCCATATGACCCAGAAACTGGTCTTCTGGGTATCTGCGTCAGTCTTTGTTATTTAGTTGGCATGAAGAAGGATTGGGCATTGGATGTTGTAAAAGTGTCCCACATGACTCTAATGTGCAACAAAACTTAGAAATCAATAGACTAAGTTACCTTGGGGATTAGAAAAAAAGTCTCCAAACTCTCAATGACTTAAAAGTAAAAGTATTTCTTATTCATGCTACAAGTCCAGAGTGAAGAGATGCACCATCTCTAATAGTGATATCTCAATCCCAAGCCTCAGGGTCCATGACACAGGAAGGCATGAAAACCCATCTATTGGCTCTTAAATGACTCACTTCACTTCTCCCTAAGATTTCAGTGACTGAAGCAAGCCACTCAGCCATGCTTCAAGAGGATGTGGAAGTATAATTCTCCACATGCCCAGGAGAGAGGAACTAGAAATATCAGAATACTGGTATCTCTCATCTTTTAATTTTTATTTATCCTCACCCAAGGAAATGTCTTTATCAATTTGAGAAAGGGAGAGATATATTGACATGAGAAACATTGATAGGCTGCCTCACACATGGATCCCGACCTGGGACTGAACCCACAACCCAGCTATGTTGACCTGATTGGAAATCAAACCAATAACCTTTTGGTATATGGTAGGACGCTCCAACCAACCAGGCAAGGGATCTATCTTTTTAAAATTAGTGTATGCTTGTTTTAATGATTTCCCCTGGTGCTAAAGACTGAATGTTTTTGTTTCCCTAAAATTTATATTGAAACTTAATTCCCAAGGTGATGGTATTTGGAGGTGGGGCACCTGAAGGTGATTAGGTCATGAGGGCAAAGCCCTAATGAATGGGATCTATGTCCATATAAGAGAGAACCCAAAGAGCTTCCTCCTCATGTCCACACAGCAAGATAGTTATGAACCGCCTCACCAGCCATCAAACCTGCAGGTGTTTTGATTTTAAACTTTACACGTCTAGAACTATGAGAAATGTTTCTGCTGTTTATAAGCCACCCAGTCTATGGTATTTTGTTTTGGGAACCTGGATGAACTAAGACACCTTGCCACATCTTTTGGTATTAGGCCTCAATTCTTCAATTTTCTTCTATTTCACGAACCAATCTTACATCTACAAATAACTTGACATTACTGAATGGTACATTGTCTTTTCTTTATAGCCAGCACCATACTTTAATCAAGTAGTTTTAAAAACAGTGTGATGGTCATTAATTCTAAATCTGGTTTAACTGCCCTCATAGGTTTGGTTCAGTGGATAGTGTTGGCACATGGACTGAAGGGTCTGGGTTTGATTCTAGTCAAGGTCAAGATTATATACCTTGGTTGCAGGCTCAATGCTTGGTCCTGGTGAAGGCTCACGTGGGAGGCAACCAATTGATGTTTCTCTCTGTCTCTCCCTCTCTCTTCTACTCTCTCTAAAAATCAATGGAAAATATCCTTGGGTGAGGATTAACAAAATAAAAAATAAATCTGGCTTGACTATTGTATTGGTAGCTGCAGATGAACCTAAGAAATAGGCACCTGCTGTAAACTTACTCCATTACTGGAGGCCCAGTGCACAAAATCCATGCACAGAGTGGCGGGGGGTGGGGGGGACCCTAGCCTGCACCCTCTCCAATCTGGGACCCCTCTCACAATCCGAGACCACTGGCTCTTAACTGCCCACCTGCCTAATGGTTTGGTCACCCCCAACTGCCCCCTCTGCTGGCCTGGTTGCCCCACACAGCCTGCTGTCCAGTCATTTGGTCACCCCCCTAGGCCCCCCTACTAGCTTGGTCACCTCACACATCCTGCTGCTTAGTTGTCCTGTCAGCCCTCACTAACGCCCCAGCTGGCCTGGTCACCCCATGCAGCCTGTTTGGTTGCAACAGTCGCTTAGGCTTTTATATATATATATATATATATATATATATATATATATATATATATATATATAGATTCCTCCTTCCTTCAAGAACAAAACACTTAATTCTTGCCAGTTTGCTCTGCTATGAATATTAATGTATTTACACGGGTGGAGGAACCCAGAAACTGCTTTGAATTCTCCCTTGAATAAGAACTATTGCTTGGCTGGTGTGACTCAGAGGTTGAGTGTTGATCTATGAACCTCTTTTATCATGGTTTGTTTTCTGGTCAGGGCACATGCCCAGATTGAGGGCTTGATCCTGTGGCAGGGGGAGATGGGGGGTGGGGAGAGGAGGCTTGCAGGAGGCAGCAGACCAATGATTCTCATCATTGATGTTTCCTCTCTCCCTCTTCCTTCCCCTCTGAAATAAGAAATATATAAAACTTTTTCTTAATATTTCTACCTCTACTATTTTACTAAATCAAAGAAATACAGGAGTCTGCCCTTAATGTTTTTTTAAAAAAAAATGTTTTTATTGATTTTAGAGAGGAACATTTTTAAAAAAAAAACATTGATAAATGAAAAATGTCATCTATATTCTGCCTCCTATTGATTGAGTTACAATCCAGGCATGTGCCCTAACTGGGAATTGAACCTCTTGGTTCATGGGTCAACACTCAACCACTGAGCCACACTACCAGGCCCCCCTTATTCAGTTTTTCTCTCTATGGTTTCAGTTACTTGTGGTCAATTGTGTTCTGAAAATATTAAATGGAAAATTCCAAAAATAAACCATTCGCAAGTGTTAAACTGCATAGCACTCTATGAGTAGGGTAATGAAATCTCACTAATCTGCCTGGGTTGTGAGTCATCTCTACCTCGTGTATCCACAAAGTATATGCTATAATCTACCCAACCGTTAGCCACTTAATGGCTGTCTTAGTTATCAGATTGGTTATCAGAGGAAAAGAGACGACATTCATGTAATTTTTATTACAGTATATTGTTATTGTTGTCCTATTTTACTATTATTGTTAATCTCTTACTGTGCCTAGTTTATCACAGGTATGTATGTGTAGAAAAAAAATGTATATGCAGCACTATCTGCAGTTTCAGGCATCCACTGGGGGTCTAGGAACGTACCCCACTTGGATAAAAGGGGACTACTGTATTTTAAGTCTCATTTCAAGCAAACTTTCATTGCCATACACTTTTTTTATTTTACCACCTTGCTTTTACTCCCAGAGGATAATGTATTTAAAAGAAAAACCAAACAAAATAGGTATTCAAAGAGCACTTCAGTGATTTTTTAAAAAAAATTATTTTATTGATTTTTCACTGAGAGGAAGAGAGAGAGGGGTAGAGAGTTAGAAACATCGATGAGAGAGAAACACTGGTCAGCTGCCTCTTGCTGGGGACATGCCTGCAACCAAGGTACATGCCCTTGATCGGAATCGAACCTGGGACCTTTCAGTCTGCAGGCCGATGCTCTATCCACTGAGCCAAACTGGCTTTGGCACTTCAGTGATTTTTAAACTGATGTGTGCTCAGTAATTTTTTACAAATAATTAAATGGATTAAATCATTACAGAAATAAAGAAAATTCTTTAAAAAAATGAGTCTAAGAATTTTGGTGGTAACAGTAACTCTGGTGAAAATCTCTGAGATAAACATTTTATAAATGATTAATAAGTTTACTATAAACTGTGCTATAAATGGGAATTAATTAAAACAACTGTTAGACTTCTAAGCCAAAAAAAAAAACATTACACTGTTTCAGAATGCATTATTTAACATTTTATTAGAAAAATATTTTTAAAGTAATATATTATAAAAGTAATCTGTGTCAATTTCTAATATCAGAAATAAATGTTGAAAGCAATTATATGTACATATATGCACACATACACTCCACACACAAAACATTTGAAATGCCACTCAAATTTAATGCATTCAATCTTGACCAAAGCTTGATAGAAGCTTTGGGGCATCAGCAAACTCAGTCATCTCTGTTTGTGTGTGTCTCTCAAGGTGTTTCTGGATTCTTTTCCTTTATATACCAGATTAAATATTAGCCCAGGAAAATAAAAACCTATATCAATGCAAATGAAATAAAAATAATTTCAAATGTAAACCTGATTAAAATAATTGTAATATGAATTGGTTTTGATAATCAAATGTCTTGCATTATCATTATATCATTTTTTCATTATATGAAAATACAACCAAAACAATCACAGTCCATGTTTGGAACACATTTACCTCATCCTCAGATCTCTAAATTTATTATTTGAAATACCAAAATGAAATATTTTACTCTATTTTTAAAGTCTATATTTACTTTAGAACTATTTACTTCAGATAATATAAATAATATGAATAATTTAACTCATTTACTATAACCTGATTTTTAAGGATTTATTTAAAGTTTTGATAATACAGTAATATTTTAGGATGAAAAAAGCCATATTATATATTAAAAGGCAATTTACCTAAACTTGCCTTCTAAATTAAGAATTTCTTGAATGAAAAACTTATAACAAAGCCAAAATTGATTAAATTTAAAATGTCTTTATTCATTTATATGGTAAATACTATCTCCTCCTAAAAAACAATGACATTTGTCTTTTAGTATATCAAACTTAACTAGAAAGTTCATGTGTCTTTTTTTTAATTTCATGTTAACCTGATCTAAAATGCAAAACACAAAAATCAATTTTAATAGGCATTATTAAATAATTATACACATATGCAGAACTTTGGAAAATGGTTAAAATTAGAGATGAATGTTAAATGAGGGGACATGAACAATCCGTTTACACCAATGAATGTAACAGAAGATGAGTTCCTACTGATTTCTGGTAACCAATTTCCTTTTTGTGACTCCTTAAATACCCAATTCCAAATCTTCCAGCTCCCGGAGAAGGGCTTTCTCTTTTTGAATTTTCTCCAACTAGAAAAGTTTAAAACAATGAAGTTATTAAAAGGGAAATAAAATAATTATTGGCTCCATAGCGAAAAGCAAAGAAGAAAATATCTAGATAGAATATAGCTGACAGTTTATCAGATCCACTGGTAAACAGATTTAAAAATACAGATCAGATGCCCAGCTGGTGTTGTTCAGTGGTTAAGTGTTGACCTATGAACCAGGAAGTCCAGTCAGGGCACATGAAAGTAGAGGACATGCAGGAGGTGGCTAATCAATGATTCTCTCTTATGACTGATGTTTCTATCTCCCTCTTCCTTCCTCTCTGAAAATCAATTAAAAAAAACAAAAATAAAATAGAAGTGTAGATTGGAAACATTTTCTAATGTGTAATCTGGCATGAATCATGGGGGCAAAGGAAAGAAGCTGTCTTTAAGTTCTTTTTATTCCCCAATATATTTTTATTTATTTCAGCGAGGAAGGGAGAGGGAGAAAGAAACATTAATGATGAAAGAATTATTGATCTGCTGCCTCTGCATGCCCCCTACTAGAGAACGAACTCAAAATCCTGGCATGTACCCTGACCAGAAATTGAACTAGGACCTCCTCGTTTACAGATCCATGCTCAACCACTGAGTCACACCACCGAGGCCAGAAGCTGTCTTTCTGCATTCCGTTGGCTCAGTAAAATTTCCAGTCTACATCTGGGCTTAAAAGTGCTGAGGAAAGGAAGAGGAAAGGGCAAAAAAGAGCAGTGGAATCTGAGACAGAGAAGAGAATCTTCTATTTGTCTAACATAATAAATGCTCTTATTTTCAGCAGCAATAGCATTAAAATACAGATTCGATGCCCAGCCAGTGTTGTACAGTGGTTAAAACACCTCTTAGAAATAGTGACTTTCTCAGTCACCATGATCTACTTCATGTCTCCCTCTATCCCTGTTTAAGAATAAAAACATTAAAAAAAATATATGGCATATATTTTCCCAGAGACTTAAAAACCTAGGTGCTCTTTTACCCAGAGAAACAATTGCTTATAATAAAAAGAGGAAGAGTAATCATGACAATGAGCTCAAATTAAAAATGCAGAAAAGACCTGATTTTTTTCTAGCTGTTTTCCAGTTGCTGCTTGTTCTTTCAGTTGTTCGATTGCTTTCAGTTTCTACAAATATCAAGAAGAAGGAAGAGTAAGTCATTTTAGAATGCAAATGTCCTTATTAACAACTCAATTATATGAATCCTGAATAAGGAGAATCAATGATCTTAAATTGGTATTAAGAATAGTCTATTAAAATGCTAAGGTAAACTATTTTTTAAAATTAAATGCAAAATTAGATATGTTAACAATATAGGGGTAATGGGGGGATGTAAAATACAGCATAGGGAAAATAGTCAATAATCCTATCTATTAATAATAAAAGAGTAATATGCACATTGATTGTACCTTTGCTACACTCACCAGGCAAATAGGAGCAAGTATGCAAATGAACCCAACCAAGATGGCTGTGGCCACCGAGTGAGCAGGAGGCTTGAGCACAGCCTCCGCTTGGGTCACCAGAGGGTGTGGCTGGCCTGCGAACAACCACAGGCCCCTCGCCCAGGCCACCCCATGCCTGAAGGGAACCGCCACCCTGACCTGGGACACCCTTCAGGGCAAACCAGCTGGCCCCCACCCATGTACCAGGCCTCTATCCTATCTAATAAAAGAGTAAAATGCAAATTGACCATCACTACAACACACAAGCTGGCTAACCCCACATGGACACAAGATGGCTGCCACAAGATGGCCAGCAGGGGAGGGCTGTTGGGAGGAACCAGATCTGCAAGGAAGGGCAGTTAGGAACGACCAGGCTGGCAGGGGAGGGCAATTAGGGTGACCAGGCTGGCAGAGGAGGAAAGTTGGGGATGACTGGGCATGCAGAAAAGGGAAGGTGGGGGGGACCCAGGCCTACATGGGAGGGGCGCAGTTAGGGGTGAGCAGGCCTGCAAGGGAAGGGCAGTTAGGGGCAAACAGGTTGGAAGGGGAGTGTTTAGGGGATGATCAGGCTGGCAGGCAGAAGTGGTTATGGGCAATCAGGAAGGTAGGCAGCGAGCAGTTGGGAACCAGCAGTCCCGGATTGTGAGAGGGACATCCGACTGCCGTTTAGGCCCGACCCTACTGGGATGACCTTAGACCCTACTGGGATCGGGCCTAAACGGGCAGTCGGACATTCCCCGAAGGGTCTCAGATTGGAGAGGGTGCAAGCTGGGCTAAGGGACACACCCCTGTGCACAAATCTCATGCACTGGGCCTCTAGTATTGTAATAAGTATGCATGGTGGCAGGTGGGTACCAGCCTTATTGGGCGGTGAGGAATCACTTCATAGTTACATAAATGTCTGACCATTATGCTGTACACCTGAAACTAATATAATATTGACTGTCAACTTTAATTAAAAACTTAAAAATAGATAAAATATGCTCCAGCTCAGGGGAAAAAAGAATATACATTTGGTGAAATATTTTCCAAGCTTTTAATTAATGTTATATTGGTATATGTATATATATATGTGTGTGTGTGTGTGTGTATGTACATGATGTATGTAAATATATAATCAACTTCACTATTTATTGTAGCACCTCATTGTACTAGGATGACATCTTTGGCTTTAAGAAAAAATTAATAGAGCAACCTGGGAAGGGCTTTAGAGACCTGATTTTACCTCCACATCTGATTGCAATTTGACAAGCTAATCAACTTCTTTCTGTTTCTATTTGCTCATCTTTAAAAATGGTAAAAAGGTCTGTTCCTACTTGTTTCATAAGTGTCTAATAAAATGCTAAGTATAAAAGTATTCAGCATATTTCTGTAAAAATGTACATTATTTATTACTTCAAAATTTATGATGAAAAGACTAATAGGCATTAGACAATTGTAAAGAGAACTTAAATCAGCAACATTCCTGTGACAGCATTGGATAGTGAGAAAGCAACAAGAACTGCTATAAACTTCTTACATGCCTATTTAAGTGTCTAAATGTTATGTTCTTTATAGAATCCTCACACATTTCTTTCAATAAACACATTTGACTTGTAGTGAATTCTCACCTTCTTTAGGTTCTTGATTTTTTTGTCTACCTCAGGGTCTCCAGTAGTTGGCTGAGAGATAGTATTTTGAGCTGAGCTCTGTGAGGTAGGTGTAGGTGACAAATCCAGACTCTTGTCACTTCTTGCTTCCTGCAGGAAAAATTCATTTGTCTAAAATGAAAACATTGCCTTGGTATATAACAGGAAGAAACCAAAATGTGACTTTTATCTTTTATGATATGTTTTATATAAAGAAGGGGTCTCAATTGAAGGTCTGATATGTGACATTGTACCACAATAAATATAATGCAGCTTAAAAAAAATACCACAGTACAATGACACAGACAGAAGGTTTTTATATAATATTTGTCATAGGGAACACTTTGCTAGATCTAGAATTTAAAGTAACATATAATTTCTTTTTTAAATGTTATGTTATCCTAATATATAAAAACCAAGAGTCCGTAACGTCCAAAACGACCAAAGGCTCGACTGAATGCCAGGCTGTGCACGCAGCAGGCTCTGTGGGTAGGGACTGGTGAGTGAGCTGAACTGCTGATCTCTCAAAGGAGAGAGAGAAGTGGGGCTGATCAGTGGCTACCGCGGCCACTGGTAGTGCCCAGAGAGAAAGAGAAGCCGCGTCACTCAAAGAGATCAGTAGTTCAGCCAGCTCGCCAGCAGCTTGGGGTGGCTATTGATCAACCCCACTTCTCTGATCAGGCCCGGAGACACTGACTGGCATAGAAACTGGCCAATCAGAACCTAATCTGCGTGAAGTGCAAGGAGCCAGTGAGTGCCTAGGAGGGAGAGCTTTTGACGCTGACTGGCATAGAAACTGACCAATCAGAACCAAATCTGAGTGAACAGTGAGGAGCTTAAGAGTTGTAGCTTCCGCCAAAACTGGTCTGGCTCAGAGGATAGAGCGTTGGCCTGTGGACTGAAAGGTCCCCGGTTCAATTCTGGTCAAGGACATGTACCTTGGTTGCGAGCACATCCCCAGTAGGGGGTGTGCATGAGGCAGCTGGTCGATGTTTCTCTCTCATCAATGTTTCTAACTCTCTATCCCTCACCTTTCCTCTCTGTAAAAAATCAATAAAAATATATGGGAAAAAAAAAGAGGTAGAGCTTCTGATGCTAACTGGCATAGAAACCGACCAATTAGAACCTAATCTGGGTGAACTGCGAGGAGCCAAAGGCTGCCTAGGAGGTGGAGCTTCTGACACTGGCATAGAAACCTACCAATCAGAACCTAATGTGAGTGAACTGTGAAGGCAGAGCCTAAGGTCGGGGCTGAGGAAGGGCTTTAACAGCAACAGCTGTTTGGTGTAAGGTGTAAGAGAACAGTTCAATTTTTTTAATGACCTGTTTGGCAGTACAATGCATATGGCTGGCTATAAATCCAGATATAGGGATTATGTATTTTTCTCTGCCAAGAGCATCTCCTCCTTAATGGCTTTCCCACCCATTTAAGCAATCCTATCCTATTTAATCTATCTACACTAATAAAAGAGTAATATGATAATTAGACTAGGTCTATTGGCCACTTTCTGGATAAAGCCATGGTGGTGGGGGCTAAGGCAGAGACAGGAGCAATCAAGTCAGCAGGAGAGGGCAGTTGGAGGCAAGATCAGGCCAGTAGGGGAGGGCAGTTAGGGGTGATTAGGCAGGCAGAGGCATTAGGTGCAAGATCAGGCTGGAAGGGGAGAGCAGTTGGAGATGAGATTAGACCAGCAGGGGAGGGCTTTGGGGGGTGAGATCAGGCTGGCAGTGGAGGGCAGTTAGGGGTAATCAGGCAGACAGAGGCAGTTGGGGGTGAGATTAGGCCGGCAGGGGAGGGCAGTTAGGGGCCATCTTGCAGGCAGGCAGCAGTCAGGTGAAGAGTTAGGAGCCAGAGGTCCTGGGTTGTTGGAGAGATATCTGATTGGCAGTTGGAAACCCCCTAAGGGGTCCCTGACTGGAGAGTGTGCAGGCTGGGGTAAGGGAACATCCCTCCCCATGTACGAATTTTGTGCACTGGGCCACTCGTACTACATAATACCATTAGGGTTTCAGGTTTTAAGATCAGATCCAGTATCCTTAGTCTCCTATTATAAACACAAGAATATTTAAAAATTCATAGTCAAACACAAAGAAAGACATTCTAAGCAAGTCTAACTCCAATATTATTTCACAACATACCAGTCAAATCTTTAGGATGACAAAACTTTTAAGGCTTAAAGCTAATTTAATAGATTTTTATTCAAAAGATTAGTACCCCCAAATACCTGCTTTGCAGCTTTCTTAGCTTCATGTTTCCTTTGATTTTTAAGGGCGTTTTTTGATAATGGCTTATCATTTCCTGGTTGTGGTTTCATATTTTGAGGTGGTTCCTCCTCATGCTATGGAAAATGTAAAAGAAACAATTTTGAAAGTATGGGATAAAATTACTTAATCAAATTTAAGATAACCAGCAAAGAAAATTTCAAAACTCTGATAAGTATTAGGCACATCCCAACTGTCAGGGTGGATTTAATGAGGTTGTTTCTATCAATTGAGAGATACCGGTATATCTTACATAAGAACTTGAAAAAATTCAATTTTGTTTACACAATGGAATTTATTTACTTCAATTTGTTAAAATTGATTTTTACAGAGAAGAAAGGAGGGAGGGAGAGAGAAACATTGATCAGTTAACTCCTGTATGTGCCCAGACTAGGTACTGAATTCATCAACTTTTGGTATATGAGACAATGCTCCATCCAACTGAGCCACATGGCCAAGGCTGGAATTTTTTTTTTTTTTTTTTGTATTACTACTGACATATGACCCTTCTGAAATTAAATAGCTTCTTCTGGAATAGTTTTGGATCTGACTACTGCAAACAGAAACCCAATTTCTCATTTATTTTCTTTGAACTAAGAATTATTTGCTAGATCTTTACTTGCAAAATCAGATTAGAAGACTAAAAATAAAAGCAAATAGAAAACCTACAAAAGACATAAAAAATAGATAAAATAGGAAGGAATAATTATAAATGCATAATTTTAAATTTATGCTTAACATCATGAAGTGGTCTATAAAAAACTAAGAAACTAGTCAGACTATACAATGAAAATAGTCATTTCCATCACCGGATATTTATGTAACTATTAATTCACAACAGAAAGAGGGTGAATTAAGTTCAGGATTGAGGAGCATCTAATGGAGAAGATGGGACTATCTAAATATATAAAAAGCCAGCAACCATAATGCTGTAATGACCGAAATGATCAGTTGCTATGATGCCCACTATGGCTAGTGAACAGGCTCGTTCAGGGGGTGAGACAGGCCAGCCAACTGCCTGCAGACCCTCTCCCAACCAGCCCCATCTCAAATAGGCCTCCACCACCTTGATTGGCCCACAGCCCTTCCCCAAGCCAGCTCCGCCCCCTATTGGCCCCCACACTCTGATCAGGGGCAGGGCCAAGGGCCAATTACCCATGGCCCCTCCCCCAGGCCACTGGCCTCCAATTACCGCCCCCCCATGTATAATGGGGGCAGGGTGGACTGCCCCACCGCTCACAGACCTTCCTCAGGACTGAAACCACCCCCAATCATACCCCCCCACACCCTCCAGCTAGTTCTGTCCCCTATTGACCCCCCATAGCAGGGGAGTGGGAGTGGTTGGCAAACCTCCCAAAGATTCTCTCCTGGCTGATGAACTCCAATCAGTCTTCCAAACCTTCAATGGGAAGCCAGCCGGCCCACAGCTCCTCCCTACAGCCAGCCCCTCCAAATGGGGATGGGTCGACCAGCCAATTGCCTGTGGCCCCTCCCCCAGCTGGCCCAACCCTGTTCAGGCTCTGATCAAGGTGGGCTGGCTGGCCAACCTCCTGCTGTCTTCTCCTCCTGACAGGCCCGACCCTGATCCACCCCAATTGGGGCTGGGTCAGCCAGAACCCACCTGTACACGAATCTGTGTACTAGGCCTCTAGTCCTATCCAATAAAAGGATAATATGCAAATTGGCCATCACTGCAACACACAAGTGGGCTGCCCCAATGTGGACAACAAGATGTCTGCCCCAAGATGGCCTGCAGGGGAGGGTAGTTGTGGATGATCAGGCCTGAAATGGAGGGCAATTGAGAAGGACCAGGCCTGTAAGGGAGGACAATTGGGGGCAAACAGGCCTGAAGGGGAGGGCAGTTAGGGGTGACCAGGCTGGCAGAGGAGGGCACTTGGGGGTGACCAGCTACGCAGGGGAGGACAGTGAGGGTGACCAGTTCTGCAGGGAAGGGCATTTAGGGGAGGGAACCAGACTAGCATAGGAGGACAGTTAGGGATGACCAGGCCACAGGGAAAGGCAGTTAGGGGAGACCAGGCCTGCAGTGCAGGGCAGTTGGGCGGGACCAGACCTGCAAGGGAGGACAGTTGGGGAGAACCAGGCCTACAGGGGAGGGCAGTTGGGGAGAACCAGGCCAGCAGGGGAGAGCAGTTAGAATTGAGCAGGGCAGCAGGGGTGGGCAGTTAGGGGTGACCTCGTCGGCAGAAGAAGGCAGTTAAGAGCAACAAGGCCTGCAGGGGAGAGCAGTTGGGAGCAACCAGACCTGCAATGAAGGGCAGTTGGGGATCGGGGGGACCAGGCCTGCAGGGGAGGGCTGTTGGTGGGTACCAGGCCTATAGGGGAGGAGAGTTAAGGGTAACCTGTCTGGCACGGGGGGCAGTTAGAGGTGAGCAGGCTGGCATGGGAGGAGAGGTAGGGGCAATCGGGCCTGTAGGGGAGCAGTTAGCATCAACCAGGCTGGGAGGGGAGTGGTTATTGATGATTAGGCTGGCAGGCAGAAGCAGTTAGGGGCAATCAGGCAGGCAGGCAGGCAAGTGGTCGGGAGCCAGCAGTCCTGGATTGTGAGAGGATGTCCAACTGCCCATTTAGGCCCGATTAGGCCTAAACAGGCAGTCAGGCATCCCTCGAGGGGTTTATGCTCTCATCAGGTACTAAGTAAGATAAGCATGCCTGAGGAAAGAAAAGGTCTAGAAAACACTAGAAAATGTTTTCCCATTAAAGTAGTAAACTTGACTTACCAGTTTCGAGTTGGTAGTTGGTTTATTTCTTAAAGCTGGGGGTCTGTAAGCTGTTGCAGTTTTAGGTTCTTCCCTGGGTAACTCACTTGGAACAGCTTGGTAAGTTATTGTTTTTGCTGGAAATATTCCATCTAAAAATGGCTGCCAAGAAACCTGCCATAATTCCACATTTGATGGCACATCATATTTGTGCAAGACTGAGCCAGTGTAATGCCAAATCTTGTACCCATTATTAACACGTAACCTGGGAGCACATGTAGCTGTTAAAATATGCTCACCATCTGGGCACCAAGCAAAATATGTAGAATCAGAGGCCACTGGTTTAGAAATAAGTTTGTAGTTTTTAACATCCCATACTTCCATTTGTCCCCTCAGATTTCCAAATCCAGCCAGTACTAATATATGCCCATGAGGACTATAGTAGGCTGCATTACGAGGACCAGTTCCAAAGTCAAACACAGGATCACATTTCAAGTTGAAAATTGTTGCTTTGGCAGGCATAAAACCATAAACAGCACAAAACTCAGTAGAATTAGAATTCCAAACCACATCATAGATGGGGCCACTTTTTGCTGGAAAAATAATATAAAACCAAATTAGCAATAATTATACGAACATAAGATTTATTAGCACTAATTATAAGCACATAACACTCAAACATGTCAAAGAGTACAGATACAAAACAAAAAAAACTCAAAAATTTCATGGTATGTCAAAATTAAAATATTTTTCATGACATACAACATATAAAAATTAATGTATAATCATAAATTTAAGAATCCCTAATAAACCTTCATTTTTTATTTTTTTATTTTTACATTTTGGTAATGTGGACTCACAGTAGCATAAGTTATTACTACTATTTATTAACAACTAGTTTTTATTGAACTAGGTAGTAGTACATGCATATAGTAACAAAAATATGAGCTATTTAAAAAGACACACCACAAAAATAAACCCCTTTACACTAAAGGCAAAACTCTGGCATATTTCTTTTTTTGTTAATCTTCACCCAACAGTATTTTTTCCATTGATTTTTAGATAGAGTGGAAGGGAGGGAGGAAGGAGGAAAAAGGGAGAGAGAGAGAGGGAAAGAAAGACACAATGATTTGTTGCCTCCCACAAGCACATTGACATAGTGGGGAATTGAAACTGAATCTGGGTATATGTCCGTCATCAGGAATCTGCGTGGGGACGGATATTCTAACCACTGAACTACGTCCACCAGGGCATCTCTGGTATATTTATTGCATATGCCTACTGAACCAGGCCAGCTAGGCTATATCATCTTTTTCACTGTCCCTGTTTTTTATCAAAGGAAGATGGCTGAAATACTCACGTAATTGCACCACAGCACTTTCTCCATTTGTTGCAATATAGTGCAGCGTTTGTTCACCGTAGTAGGAAGCTCCTGTCTTGTCAACATCTGTACTAGCTATTACTAACACAGCAGTAGCTGTAACAGTAAAAACTTAGATTTAAAACACAAATTAACCTAATGGTGATAAAAAATATATTAAATAATATAAGAGTCATGAAAAGTTAATTAAATAAGCATTGATACATTCTCCTATACACAAAGGAATCAAGTCTAAATCAATACTTGATAAACAAAATGAGAGAAAATATACTTATCATACCTTTTTTATTCCATAGCATTGTAACCTTATCTGCCTTAAAGAAACTTTTATTGGCTAAAGCTGCATGAGGCCCATCAAAGTTGGGGTACTGATATAATCGAACAAATGAAGGTGCACCCTTACTTCCTGGAACGTAAACAGCCACCTATGATACACAGAAATAAATAATTTAATTTATGAAGCATATAAATTAAGATGGATATCACTAAAACCTAAGAAAAAAGTTAATCTTATAAATATTGCACAAAAGCAAACAAAAACATAGCCATTACCTTGTATGGTTGGGGTCCAGGTGATAACACAAAATCATTAATTTTTTGCAAATGCAATTTATTTGCAATTGTATCTAAGAAAAAAGGAAAAGGTGTTAAATTGATGAGAGATGCTAATAGTGAATGCTAAATTCTGAATGCATTTTAAAAGGTTAGTGTAACTATACACAATACTGATCATTGTAGCCGAAACCGGTTTGGCTCAGTGGATAGAGCGTCGGCCTGCAGACTGAAAGGTCCCGGGTTCGGTTCCGGTCAAGGGCATGTACCTTGGTTGCGGGCACATCCCCAGTAGGGGGTGTGCAAGAGGCAGCTGATCGATGATTCTCTCTCATCAATGTTTCTAACTCTCTATCCCTCTCTCTTCCTCTGTGAAAAACCAATAAAATATATTAAAAAAAAAAATACTGCTCATTGTAGTCTCATATAGATGAGGCATAGCAAAGTAGTGGAAAAAGCATGGGTGGGAGTAGACAGACTTACACTTGAATTCCTGCTTAGTCACTTATTAGCTGTGTGAGTTTGGGCAAGTAATGAGATTATACACCTAGTTCCTAGTGATTGATTTTTAAGAGGACAGTATCAGGCACATAGTAAGTATTTAATAAACATCAGTTCCCTTCAACTTCGAAATAAAGTAGTTTTAGAGCCCATTAGATGGGAAAGATTACTTTAGCCTAATGTAATATGTGGATACTGATATTCTATAACTAATTACATGTCAATAATGATCACAAGAGTAACAATGGTGGACATTGTTTTCTTTAAATATATTTTATTGATTTTTTACAGAGAGGAAGAGAGAGGGACAGTCAGAAACATTGATGAGAGAGTCATCGATCAGCTGCTTCTTGCACACCCCCTTCTAGGGGTGGGCCCGCAACCAAGGTACATGCCCTTTTGACTGGAATCGAACCCGGGACTTTTTAGTCCGCAGGCTGACGCTCTATTCTGAGCCAAACCGGTTTCGGCAATGGACATTTTTTTTTTTTAGTTCTAACTCTGTGCCAGGCAGTCAGAATTCATGTTATGAAAAATACTGCTTCCCTAGTTAATGGGATCAAGAACTGTTATTCTTCCTATGTTCAAATTCAGATCTTCAAAAGTAGTACACCAAACTGCTAAATTGAAGCCTCCTTCTTTTGGCATGCTCACAAAGAGGAAGGCAAGATAAGCCAGCAAGTGAACCCAAAATCAGTGAGGGCTGAAATGATACTCAAAAGCAAGATAATGAAGTGTAAAGCTATAAAGATAACAAGAACAGTGCCAACTTTGGTATATGTGAATGTAGTTACCAAATCCTCCTCTATTGTAATAAACTCAAAAGTGTACAGTCACTAATGGGATACCCTAAGGACAAAAGAAATTGCAAAACTTTTCTTTGAATTATTTTCAGTAATCACATTATTGGTATTACTGTTGGTATTGTTATTCTAAGAATATTATGTGGTTCATGTGGAAAAAAAAGCAAATGAAATTCCAGAGAACCAGGATGCCTGGTATTGGCAAAAGGCAATACATATGTAAGATAAAAAAGAAAGAAAAAGGCCTGAAACAATGATCAACACAATAGTAATAAGTACCCCTATATATTCCTATATTGTGGTCTCTAAATACCATTTTCCACTCAAACAAACCAGACTGATTCTAGGTATATAGCAGGAAATAATAAACACGGTAGTCTCAGAACAGCTTGTCTTACCATATAGCAAAATATTATAGTCATCAACAACTAACTGATCAATCAAGGGATAATTTGAGCATCAAAAAGAATAATAATTGAAATGGCTAGAAACACATGTTTAAATTTATAGTTCATAACGATGTGGAGTGGGGCAGGGGAACAATTGGTTGCAATGAAGATTGCCTGAGAAAGAACTCATTATTTCAAAAGCGACAAAAGAAAAGACTATTGATCCTGCCTTTTGAAAAGAATATTGATCCTGCCTTTCCTATATATGTGTGTGTGTGTGTGTGTGTGTGTATATACACACACACACACACACACACACACACATACTTTTCAAGTATGAAAAATACTTATAATATGATGTTGAAGTCAGTTTCCTATATATATATAGGAAAGGCAACCAAATAGTAGATGAGAAAATTTCTCTTTATAGACGTAATACAGCTAATAAATAAGAGGGGAGGAAGATAATCAGAATATCACCGATTTGCAACAACTCATGAAATAATGGATCTAGGCACTGAATGTTAAACCTACACAATTAAAGAGAGTAAGACAGTATGTGCTTCTTGATAAAATAATTCAATACTGTCTTATGATGTAGTCTTACCCTCATCTCTCCCAGAAAAGATGCTAAAATTGACCAACTCTAGATACAAATGAGTTACTAATAGGGGACAGATGAACAAGTTAAATTACAGGATGGGACACAATTCAAACTATGGGAAAATATATAGGACAAGTAACAAACTGCAAGAGAGAAAAAGAGATGGAGAGAACCAGTAGCTTAAAAAAAAAAAAACTTAAAAGATATATCAGTCAATTGCAATGTGAAAAATCTTATTTGGATCATAAGTTTTAAAATAACTATAACATTTGTGATTATTAGAAATTTAACATTGAACAGATATTTTATAGTCTAGGATAATGGTCTTTTGGCTAAGTTATAAAAAATTTAAGAGTCCTAATCTTTCTGGGATACATACTGAAATACTTATTGGTAAAATTATATGATCTCTAGGATTTGTTGTAGCAGAGTAAGAGGGATGGAAGATGGACAGATGGATAAGATAGGACTGGCAATGAGTTTATGGTTATTAGGACTAGGTGTCTAATTTTGTGTTTCAAATTCTACACAATAAAACATTCATTTGTATCACAGAATTTCAATAACAAATAAATACAGAAAGAGATATTTAAAATGTCTTGGTTTAACAGAAATTTAGGGAATAAGAAGTTATTATAAAATAAAATTTTTGGTTATAAAATTTCACTAGTGTTTATGTTATTCAAATGAATAACTATAATAGTAATTTTAATACATTTTATGCTTACATATAGTATGTATATAAATATACAGCAATGTATTAATATATTAACAGTATTTTAGAGAACTCTGATACATATAAAGCAATAAAAATTATATACATTTATAGTAAATAATAAATTTTTTCCATACTGAAATTGTTATTTTCAAAGAAATGAACTTCATTGTTAACATTTCGGGCACAAATAGTTTCATCTTCTGACCAGAATGGACACCTACATGGAAAAGAAAATATAAAAAAATTTAAATAGAATGTAACAAACATGTTAAAGTTTGTAAAATTGCTTACTATTTAAGGAAAAATAATATGATGTTGAAGTCAGTTACTAATAGTTTTAGTCAGTATATATAATAGACAATTAATAAACAAAAGAAAGATCAAGTGTTTATTACATTCCTATTTATAAATTCCTTAATAGATCTAGATTTTGGTCTGAGAAGTTATTTTCTAAACCAATACCAAAGAAACAAGTATTATAACAATGAAGATATTTAAAATATTTTGTAAATAATAATAAGTATTCTAAAACATTTACTTACCGCCGGGACCAGTTTGGCTCAATGGATAGAGCGTCGGCTTGGGGACTGAAGGGTCCCGGTTCGATTCCGGTCAAGGGCATGTACCTTGGTTGCGGGCACATCCCCAGTAGGGGGTGTGCAAGAGGCAGCTGATCGATGACTCTCTCTCATCGATGTTTCTAACTCTCTATCTCTCTCCCTTCCTCTCTGTACAAAATCAATAAAATATATTTAAAAAACAAAACAAAACATTTACTTACCAATTTTGCATCTTTTTCTGGATGAAAGCCTTCAAACATGTTCCAGTTTTCACATCATAAAGTTGTAGGTTGGGAACCCCAGCTGTGCCATCTTTAGAAGCTGAAGTAAAAACAACATTTTTTTATAGTAATTGTCTCCTAACACTAGTAAAAAAGATGTAATTTTTAGAAACAATTTGAATAAGATCATAAGAGAGTTGCTTTAAAACAATTTTCCCCACTATCTTAATATGGATTTACTCACCCAATCCTAAAGCCATAACAATATGACAGTTGTTTGAGCAAAAGTTCAGCATTTCTGAAATGAGTTCATTACTAAGGATTTTAAGAATATTTAAAAGAGATTTCTTGTTTAGTGAGGTTTATTATTAAGTAGATTAAATTTGTTATATGAAAACTTGTATCTATAAGTCACACATAGAACTATATAACTCATGATTTTCAATTTCCCTTTTATTTATAATACTTGGAAAAAGAAGATTCATTAGAGTCCATGCCTCTTGGAAGAACACACCCAAGAGGTTTACAATTGAATAAGTAACTATTGTAACATTTTGCTTAATATCCATATAATTAGAACACATTTTCTCTTATTTATTTTAATTGATTTATTTTTATATATTTTTACTGATTTCAGAGAGAAGGGAGAGGGAGAAATAGAAACACCAAGGATGAGAGAGACACACTGATTGGCTGCCGCCTGCACGTGTTCCACTGGGGATCCAGCCTGCAACCTGGTTCATTGATTGATACTCAACCACTGAGCAACAAGGGCCAGCTAAAATAAACATTTTAAATAATCGTTATAAATGAAAAGGAAGTACAGTAGATTCAACAACTAAGAAATGTGTATGGTATGACAAAGAATAATGGTGTGCCATTGTCTAACACTTTTAGAGATATACGTTATGTGAACATTTTATATAGCTGTGCTTCATAGATGAATAATAAAATACTGGGAATTGGTATCGGGGTTTATTTTAAGAAACATATTCTAGATTCAGATACTCATTATTTAAAAATTTAATAAGATGATGGAAACAAATATTTACACAGTGTCTGGTATATGAGTACTCAAAGTTATCTACTAGAAAAAGAAACATGGCCCAGCTGGCGTAGGTTAGTGGATGAGCATCAACTTATGAATCAGGAGAGGTCAGGGTTTGATTCCTGGTCAGGGCACATACCCAGCTTGTAGGCCTGATCCCCAGTGCGGGGCGTGCAGGAGGCAGCTCATCGATGATTCTCCTCATCATTGATGTTTCCATTTCTCTCTCCTCCCTTCCTCTCTCTGAAATCAACAAAAACATTTTTAAATGCTTTTATTTTGAAGGTTATTATTATTATTAATTTTTGAGATCTTCTCTATCCAGTGTTATTTACTTTCTAAAATTTCCCTTGGCTTTTTCTTTTGCTCTATTTCATGATGCATCTTTCACTAACTTACTATACCTTGCAATTATTTAAAGTATATTATATTTGGGGAATACAAGATTCCTATATATGCAATTTACTATCATAAAGACTAATTACTTTCTTATGAGTTATAAATTCTCATTTTCCCCCCACTGAATTGAATTGGGCCTGCTAGAATATTTTTATAATTGGAAAATACTTACTAGTGTAAGGTTGCCACGTTGCCAGGACAGTGTTTTTTGGTGAGAATTCAAGGCAAACTGTCTTAGGGAGGTCGAAGGAGTGCAGTAGTCCCTTGTTAGTGACATTGATAATATTTATTCTGGTTTCAAAAGAAATTACTTCAGTTTCACAATTGCCAGCACTACCAAAAACATTTAACTCTTTCAAATATAGATCACTCCTTAAGTGTCTATTTTTCATAAAATCAATTTTCAGTTAGTTCTACAAAATATTCAATAAACACCTAAACTGAAAAAAAGTACACACAAAAGGCCCCTCTATAAGGCTGGTGTTTAGAAATTACATGCAATTAATAGAAAGATACAATCATAACAGAATTTTAATTGAACAGAGCTACCTAAAGACAAGATGTATCAAACCAAAGAAAAAACAGAGGTGCTAAAACAAAAGCATTATTTAATTTTTAATTTTTATTGTTGGCTTAACTAACATTTATTTCTTAAAGTTTGGAGCCTCAGAAGTCCATGATGAAGGTGCTGGAAGCTTAGGTTTTTGGTGAAAACCTTTGTAAAAAAAACCAAAACTGCCTTTTTTCTGAGTTCTCACGTCACACAGAAAAAGTATGTTTTTATTGATATTTAGTGAAAGAGGAAGAGGAATAGAAAGATAGAAACATTGATGAAAAAAAAAAAAACCACTGACCAGCTGCTTCCTGAATGCTCTCCCCCTACCACTAGGGATGGAGCCTCCAACCGAAGTATGTGTCCTACCTGGGAATTGAACCAGTGACCTCTTGGTTTTTGGGTTGTTGCTCAACCACTGAACAACATTGGCTGGGCAGAAAAAGTATATTTTAAAAACTAAGTAGCCCCTGAGGAAATCAGCAAAGAGACTTTGGATGCCAATTAAAATTTTACAACAAGGCTCAGTGGATAGAGCAGTGGATAGAGCGACTGCCTGCGGACTGAAGGGTCCCAGGTTCAATTCTGGTCAAGGGCATGTACCTTGGTTGCAGGCACATCCCCAGTGGGGGGGGTGCAGGAAGCAGCTGATCCATTTTTCTAACTCTCTATCCCTCTCCATTCCTCTCTGTAAAATTTTACAACAAATCTTGAAAATATAGACTGTAAGAGTTATTTTGGTATGATAATGATAAATATCAGAATAATTGTACCAGACTCCATTTTCTTTGATGCTTTCTATATACTCTGTTCTAGTCTAATCACTTAATGCACATTTTCTTATTTCATCCTCACAACACCTTATAAAATAGATATTATCATCTCAATTTTACAGGTGAAACTGATTTGATGAAAAATTAAATGATTTGATGATTTGCCCAAAATCATACTACTGATAAATGTCAGAGCTAACTTTTAAAACCAGCTTAGTGATTTGCTATTTTGTATTCTTTGGAGTTAAAACGAGAGAGAGAGAGAGAGAGAGAGACAGAGAAAAAGAAAGGGAGAGAGAGAGAGACAGAGAGAGAGAAAATCTATTTTATTCCAGAAATTCCTTACTGAGAGCACTGCGTCAGGATAAGCAGAAATTGGTAAGAATACAAGATTATTGCATATTGTTTTAACAGAGACACATGAGATTTTTTACAACTTATTGTGAATTTCATATTTTAGCATACATAAAACTTTCTTTTTTGTAGTTGATAAACTTGAATAGTTATCTTAGAATGTTTAATGAAGGGTATTTATTTTGAATTTTTTTAAAAAATTACATATTTAAGAAGAAAATCACCTAGAGTTTCTGACTTAGTTAACCACGAAGACCAAATATACTACATAATGTTTTTCCTGCCCCAGGAACATGATATGTCTTTAAGCCACAGCACTTTAAGAAAATAAATGCTAGAACCAGGTACAGAAAATATCTATTAAAGAGATGGACATAACATATGGAGACATATTTAAAAATACTCAGAGTTGCAGAAACCAGTTTGGCTCAGTGGACAGAGTGTCAGCCTGAGGACTGAAAGGTCCCAGATTCGATTCGGGTCAAGGGCATGTACCTTGGTTGCAGGCAAATCCCTAGTAGGGGGTGTGCAAGAGGCAGCTGATCGATGATTCTCTCTCATCGATGTTTCTGACTCTCTGTCCCTCTCTCTTCCTTTCTGTAAAAAATCAATAAAATATCTTTTTTAAAAAATATTCAGAGTTGATGCCCGGCTAGTGTTCTTCCTTCCTTTCTGAAATCAATAAAAATATATATTTTTTTAAATATTAAAAAAATAAAAAAGCCAGAACTGGTTTGGCTCAGTGGACAGAGTGTCGGCCTGAGGACTGAAGGTCCCAGGTTCGATTCCGGTCAAGGGCATGTACCTTGGTTGCGGGACCATCCCCAGTAGGGAGTGTGTAAGAGGCAGCTGATCGATGATGACTCGCTCTCATCAATGTTTCTGACTCTCTGTCCCTCTCTCTTCCTCTCTATAAAAAATCAATAAAAAAATTTTTTAAAAAAGAAATTAAAAACAAACAAACAAACAAACAAATAAATAATATTCCGAGTTGAACCCAACAGAAAGCCAAGTGGAATGTGAAACAGATAAAATAATTATAATAACTACCAAGGTAAAAACAGATTTGTTTAATAAACTCTAAGATAACAGGTAAGGGTTATCACAAAAAGATAACAGACAATGAAAAAAAGCATGGTAGGTCCCATTAGGCAATAAATTTCTATGAACTCATTACTTAAATAGCATAAATTAAAATATTGATTTAAAAAAATAAAAGCCAAATATCCACAACAGGTTCAGCAAAATATAAATAAATAAAATAAATAGTAAAATCTTGAGAGTACATTTTTCATTGAATTTGAGATTAAGGTTGTCAACATTGTAGACAAGACTCAACATGATTATATACTTAGTAATAATTTGAGAGTAGTTTATTGGTTGGATTTAATAACTTAAAAAAATTAAAAAACTGATTAATATTTTTAATAAAAGCTAATTCTGCCAGCTTATAGTCATAAAAAGTGAATCAACTAATGTAATACAATCTTTTTAACATTAATTTTTCAAAAATATGTGTTTAATTCATATTTGAAAGACTTCAGAATATATTACCATTGTGTAAAATCACTTAAAATGTACTTTTGGAACTAACGTACGTATTTTCCCCATTAAAAAAAACACACACTAAGATAATATATCTGGTTAAAAACAACAACAAAATAACTTCAAACCAAGCAACAAATACTTGGGCAGCTTTCTGATTCTGTTAACTAACATTTTATATTGATTCTGGAAAAATTCAAAATGACCGGTTTTCTTAGTAAAATATGAGCATTTAATCAAAATACTTTTTTTGCAAGATCAATTTTATAATCTGATTATTTTATGTAATACTAGAGGCCTGGTGCACGAAATTCATACATTAGGAGGGGGTGTCCCTCAGCCTGGCCTGCACCCTCTCCAATCTGGGACCCCCTCAGAGGATAACCAGCAGTCGGACATCCCTCTCACAATCCAGGATGGCTGGCTCCTAACCACTCGCCTGCCTACCTGCTTGATTGGCCCCTAATTGCTTCTGCCTGCCAGCCTCATTGCCCCTAACTACCCCCCTGCTGGTCTGATGCCCACAACTGGCCTTCCCTGCAGCGACCCACCTCCTCCACTAGAGGTGGTGGAGATGCCAGGACCAGCCTCCTTCGCACCCCGTAGAGCTGTGGGACCCCAAGGTCTTATTGTTCAAAGTGGCTACAAGGCCCCACCTCTGCTGTGCATACAGCCATCTTGTGATGACCATCTTGTGATGACATGAAGGCATGATACCACCTAGGCTATTATTAGTATAGACTATGCTAAACATACTTTTGATTACTTTGTTTATATTAATATAGATTATATTAAACATATTTTTTAATGCCTTACAACTCCTATATAATAAGAGGCTAATATGCAAATTGTCTCCTCAACCAGGAGTTTGACCAGGTGGTGAAGCCAGCTTGATCAGCCCCCCCCACATCAATCTGGGCAGTGCTGCTGGCCAACCTCCCACATACCTTCCCACCTCCCTCGCATCCCTTCCCCTCCTGCTGGCTCAGCCCAATCGTCCCTGGTCAGGGCGGGCCAACTGGACCCCTCCTGTGCACGAATTCATGCACCAGGCTTCTAGTACTTAGATAAACAAGCAAGAATTATTTTTTAAGTGTTAGTGTGGAACTTAAAAAAAACCAATCAATAACTGAAAGCACTATTTAAAACAACCTCTCAGGTTATTCAGCATTAAATTAATTGCCCTTTCTCATATGTTAATTTTAAATTATAAGTAATTAGATAACTCAAATGAATCAGGCATATATGTATAAGCTAACAACTTTGGAGGTAGGCCAGGGAAGTTATGTTGGAGGTAATACCTAACTGTATCATGACATCAAAAGATGGACTTTATTAATGACACCCAAATATATATTACTCTAATAATGCTGGTTATGTTTCACATTCATGATACATACATAAAATTTTATATAAATGAATACTAACTTCTCTCCATTGCCCCAGGCAAACAAGGTCCCATCCTTACTAAAGGTATAGACTTTGCAATTTTTTCCAGATTCCCTGAAAAGGACAATAAACAAAAGTTTAAGTTAGTAAGCATTAATACTTAAAAAAAAAACAACTGATTAAAAATTCACAATCTTACTACTAATTTAATAACTAAGAACATATATAAATTTTAGAAAATAATTCCAAATGCTTTTGTCTATCAAAATACTTTATTTCTTAAAATGCAGGTTCAACAAACTCCGTAAAGTAAGCTGGAAATTTATTTTATACCAACAGGTTAATATTAAGGGAGGAAAAAAACTCTTTAGGGTGAATATCTAGTTTGTGTGACAACCCTAAAATGTAAATAAATGTAGAAGTTTCAGCTATCAGCCCTAAAACTGAGAGGGTGAAGGATTTCAAAAGGTAGACTTGCATAAAAAACAATGGTGAATATCCTCAAGTGGCTAAGGCCCTGGATTTAATATGTAGAGACAGAAAATATAACATTATGATCTTCACATTAAATAAATGCAGATGCAGGATTCCGCAGAAAACACTGACTTCTTGGCAATATTCTACCAAATGGTCAACACTCTAAGTACTGTATCTCTCAACTGGAGATGGCTACTATGATTTCCCAGTTAGATAGTGAGGATCCAAACAGAAATTGTATGTGTGTACATGGTTAGTCACAACATTAGAATAGAACTTTATGGCTAATAAATATTTGAATTATTAAACAGTGTATGGAAACTAACTACCTCACCCCTTTTAAATAAGACATTATCTTTGTATTAATTCATCTGAACATGACATTTTTGTTTCTGCAATCACACAGTAATGACAGCTTATACACATTTTGTGGTTCCAAAATATTTTTTATCTCTTACAATAAACAGCTATGACCAAGATGTCCTTCATCCTATATTGCAAAAATCATTTCTGAATCTTAAGGCAGAACTTTACAATTATCATAGTCAATTCCACACAGATTTTGGTCTGTTATTCCAGCCTACAGAGATGTATTTACATCTTGATTTTTTTTTTTAAGACACTAGTTATTCCTTACAGCTTTATAGAATGTATAAAGTATAAAACATCATTCTAAGCTATCATTTAAATTAAGTATTAAGAATGCTGAATGAGCTCTCAAGATCCTGTGGTTCACCAACAGTCCTTCCCTCAAACTAAAATCAACTCATTAATCAGCTGATTTCATAGCTCTTAACCAAAGACAACTGTCATATAATTAAAAAAATTTGTTGATCTAGCTGGTTTTGCTCAGTGGATAGAGCGTTGGCCCGCAGACCTGGTCCCAGGTTAAATTCCAGTCAAGGGCACATATTAATACCTTAGTTGCATGATTGATCCCTGGCCCTGTTTAAGGGGCATTCAGGAGGTAACCAATTGATGAGTCTCTCTCATACTGTTGTTTCTCTCTTTCTGTCTCTCCTCCTACCCTTGCACTCTCTAAAATTCAATGGAAAAAATATCCTTGAATGAGGATTAACTACAACAAAAAGACTATCATTTCTCAGATACTTTGCCAAAATCATGTTCATAGTTCTATTCTGATGTGTCTGGAAATTCTACTCAGAAAGGAAATGAGTTAAACTTAAAACAATTTGTTCTTAGCAAGCTTATTTTAATTCTAATAATCAGCCCTTTATATCATGATTATAAATTGTCCTTTTAATAACTTATTCTAGAATTGTGTTGAAGGTTGAAAGCAAGCTTACTAGATTACAGAATTCAGAATTATTTTTTCAACCTTGGCAATTGGGAAATTTTGTCTATTTCTTTGTAATATAACAATTTATTTTTAACATTTTTTTACTGATTTCAGAGAGGAAGGGTAAGGAGAGAGATAGAAATATCAATGATGAGAGAATCACTTGTTGGCTGCCTCCTGCTCCTCAACCCCCCTTACTGGGGATTGAGCCTACAACCCCGACATGTGCCCTTGACCGGAATCAAACCCCAGACCCTTCAGTCCACAGGCTGATGCTCTATCCACTGAGCCAAACTCACTAGGGCCTTCTGGTATAATCTTTTAAATAAAAAACTTAAATATATACACAAAAAAAGAGAAAGAGTATGATAATGCACCCATGTGTCTATCACCAAACTTAAATAATTAACTCATGGCCAATTTTATTTTATTTACATCCTACCTTTATATTTAATGCCAAATATTTTTAATTTAAAATAAAATCTTTATTTTTAATAGTTAGAGATGTCCCCATTTCCCCACCTCCCACAATGGCCCCCTCCACATATTTCCTGCCCTGCCCCAGGCCTTCACCACCCTATTGTCTGTGTCCATAGGCAATGCATAAATGCATATAAAATAATTGATTAATCTCTTACTGTCTCCCCTCCTCATGTACCTCTGAGATTTGTCAGTCTGTTCCATATTTCCATGCCTCTGATTCTATTTAATTAACGTTTATTTTGTTCATTTGATTTCATGTTCTCTTATTTTGATTTTTAGATTCAACTGTATTTACAGTCATTTTGTTATTCATATTTTTTATCTTTTTTTGGTTCTTCTTCTTCCTCTTAAAAGAATACCCTCCAACATTTCGTGTAATACTGGTTTTGTTTTGATGAACTCCTTTTGCTTTTTCTTGTCTGTAAAACTCTTTATCTGACCCGCAATTCTAAAATAGAGCTTTTCTGGGTAGAGTAATATTGGTTATAGGTCCTTATAATTCATCCCTTTGAATATTTATTGCCACTCCTTTCTGGATTGCAGTTTCTATTGAGAAATAAGGTGACAGTTGTACGGGCACTCTCTTGTAGGTAACTAACTGCTTCTCTCTTGCTGTTTTTAAAATCCTCTTTGTCTCTATCCCTTGGCATTTTAATTATGATGTGTCTTGGTGTGGGTCTCTTTGGATTCCTATTGTTTGGGACTCTCTGTGCTTCCTGGACTTGTAAGTCTATTTCTTTCACCAGGTAGGGGAAGTTTTCTGTCATTATTCCTTCAAATAGGTTTTCAATATCTTGCTCTTTCTCTTCTCATTTCTGTTACCCTCATAATGTGAATATTGGTATGCTTGAAGTTGTTCCAGAGACTCCTTACACTATCTTTATATTTTTGGATTATTTTTCTTTTTGCTCTTCTGATTGGGTATTTTTTGCTTCCTCCTGTTCTAAATCATTGGTTTGGTTCTTGGGATGCTTTATTCTAATGTTGAATACCTGTAAATTATTCTTCATTTTAGTTACTGTATGTTTTATTTGTGACTATTCCTTTTTCATGTCTCAGATTCTCACTAAGATCCTTAAATGTCTCACTAGATCCCTTGAAGCTCTCATTAAATCATTTGAGTAAATTTATAACCATTGTTTTGAACTCTGTGTCCAGTAGTTTGCTTGCTTCCATTTCTTTCTTTCATTTGTTTCTATGCATTAGTAGAGCTGTTACATCTCCTGGAATTGGTCAAGTGGCCTTGTGTAGTTGGTGTCCTGTAGAACACAGTAGCTCAGCCTCCTTAGAATCCTGAGCTGGACACTCAAGGTGTTCCCCTTTGTGGGCTGTGTGCACCCTGATTACTGCCAGCATCACTGGGAGAAATTGATCTCCAGGCCAATTGGCTGTGAGGACTGGCTGCCACTAGAGTGGAAGAGCTTCTGTAAAGGAGACACTCCTACAGAGCAGGACTTGTTTCAGTGGGGCTTTTGTGCTCACTGATTCTGCCCCTTGAGTGTGTTGCTTGTGGTTGTTTAGAATTATAATTAGGTATGAACTAAAATTGTCTACTATGTGCACTGGCTCTGGGTCCTCTGGGAGATGCAAAGTCAGCCACCTGAGGCCACATGGCAGGAGCTACAGATGGATTTGCAGATGGCTGCTACTTGTATTGAGCTTGGAACTGCCCAGGTGAGGTCCAGCTGTTAAGCAATACAGGCTGGTGCTAGTGCCAGGTCTTGGGCCTTTTACTGATAGGTTTGGGGCATGCTAATGCCAGCTGCTGTTTGTTTGAGATGTTTTAGCAAGGTGTGAAGCCTGCACCAAAACAGGCTATTCATATGGAAAAGCCACTGTCAACAGCTTCGGTGGGGCTGAAAATTGGATGGGGTGGGGGTCTCAGGAAATCACTAGGGTAGAAAAAACAGGGTGAGCCACTCTAATGGAAACTCAGATATGGCTGCTAGTCAGCTCTGTAGCAGGGTAGGTCCCAGCACAGAAACAATGACCCCTGTGAGTACTCCCATTTGGGAGAAAGTCAGTTCAGTTCCTCCCCATATGTCCCTAGAGTCTCCAAAGCTGCTATCTGGCACTAGAGCTCAGAGGAAGCAGAATCATGTAAGAACTGCCTGAGGTTCCAGCATTTCTGTGTCACTCATCACAATCTATACTGGTTTTTATAGCCTGAAGTTATGGGGACCCTTAACTTGACATCTCTGGAATCTTGGGCTGGGGGTCTGTTATGGGGCTGGGACCCCCTGCTTCTCATGGGAAGCCACTGCAGTGGGGATAGCCCTCCCATTTAAAAACATACCACACATGGGTGACCAGCCCATTCTGCTCCTCCACCCCTCTTATCAGTCTCAATGTACTCTCTTCTTTACTTCTCTAGTTGTACAACTTCTATTCAGCCAGATTTCAGATGGTTCTGAATGATGGCTGTTCTGTATTTTATTTTATTTATTTATTTTTTAAAATATATTTTTATTGATTTTTTATAGAGAGGAGGAGAGAGGGATAGAGAGCTAAAAACGTCGATGAGAGAAACATCGACCAGCTGCCTCCTGCACACCCCCCATCGGGGATGTGCCCGCAACCAATGAACATGCCCTTGACCGGAATCGAACCCGGGACCTTTCAGTCTGCAGACCGACGCTCTACCACTGAGCCAAACCAGTTTCGGCTGTTCTGTATTTTAGATGTAATTTTTATGTGGTTGTGGAAGGCTATGATTACCAGCATTTGTCTATGCCACCATCTTGGTTCCCTCTCCTCAATGCCAGAATATTTTAAAGCAAAACAAATTTTATACCATTTTACACTATAGTTTAGTATACATTTCCAAGTGATGAGGGCATTTTAAAAAACATAATCAGCATCATGCCACTTAATCTCACAATATCAACAATAAGTCCTTATTATCATTTACTACCCAGTACTGGATATGTGGTTTTTCCAAAGCTCCTCATATCATTCTAATATACAGTAAATTTGAGACCCATACCATACATCCAAAAGCTTGATTAGAGCCAGTTTTTGTTGTTTTCTACCTTCATTGAAGGTAAGTACCATGTTATAATGCTTCCTTATTCTACTCTTAATGATGCTGAGATTGTACGGGACTCATTATGTGCCTTCACAGACTCACCTAACCCTTTCTGCTCCCAAGCATCAGCTAGTCAATGAAGAGACCACCTCATCTCCTAACACCACTGGTTGTCTCAGACTCTTCATTAGTGAGGACTGGTGGTGGGCGACTGGGCGCGCGGCTTTTCTTTTCAACCGGAAAGGAAACAAGCTCTCTATCACTTTGAAATCAAGTTTCTGGGGTCACGTGGGGGACTCAGACACCTACAGGGAGAAGCTGGTCTGTAGGCCATCGGTCTGAAGTGAGGGTGACTCTTGCAGAGGTGTGCCACAGCAATCATTGTTCACTGTGCTGGATTGCAGGGAAGTGGGAACTTGGAAATGCGGGCGGGAGGGGGGAGGGGAGGTTGCGCAGCGGTGGCGGCAGCGGTGGCGGTGGTTCTGGGACAGTATTTGCTGTTAGCCACGCCCCAACTTAGTGATGTCCTGAGACCCGGCCCCACCCTGAGACCCTGCCCTGAGGCCCCACCCGCAGATTCTATAGACCCCGCAGGCACCACACTGCTGCTTTTGCATATAAATGGCTGGTATTGTGGCAGCTTAACGAAATAAACTGCAGCTCCAGCAACAAAGCTCCAGCAACAAAACCAACAAGTCCCAACCAAATGAACTGTACCCCATTGGTGATCCAGAAGCCAGTGTTCCTAGTGGTCAGTTTCAACCCCTCACACCCATAAGTGACACATTCGGGAGATGGACTCGATGAGCACCAAAGCCCCACTGAAACAAACCGTATCTCCAGTGCAGCAGTTCTTCCTTTATAGACAGAGTGGGTCCTCACAGACAATTGGCCTGGAGATCAATTCCTCCATTGTACCAACAGCAATTAAGGATTAATTACACCAAGACTTTGCACTAAGCCCACAAAGGGATATACCAAAAGCGACCACCTCAGTGATTGGGGAAGCTGAACTACTGGACCCTATAGGTCACCTACCACACAAAGCCACTCCATCAGCCAAAATGAGGAGACACAGAAACATGTCACGAATGGGAAAGATGAAGGAAAGTAAACTACTGGATGACACAGAATTAAGCATACAATCTCTGAAATAAAGAATATACAGAAACCCACCTATAGATCAACGTACCCCAAGAATCAAACCAAAGATCTGGAATATAAGGAAGAAAAAAATCACCTAACCAGAGAGGCAGAAAGAAAGAAGAATCCAAAAGTGTGAGGATAGTGTAAGGAGCCTCCGGGACTGCTTAAAGCGTACCAACATCTGGATTTTTGGGGTGCTAGAGGAGAGCGAGCAGGATATTGAAGGCTTAATGGAAGAAATAATGACAGAAAACTTTCCCTACCTGGTAAAAGAAATAGAATTACAAGTTCAGGAAGCATACAGAACCCCAAACAAGAGGAATACAAGGAGGGACACACCAAGAAACATAATTAAAATGCCAAGGGCAAACGACAAAGAGAATCTTACAAGTAGCAAGAGAAAAACAGCTACGGGTAGTTACCTACAAGGTAGTACCCATCAGACTGTCAGCTGATTTCTCAACAGAAACTATGCAGGCCAGAAGGAAGTGGCAAGAAATATTCAAAGTGATGAGTAGCAAGAACCTACAACCAAGATTACTCTACCCAGCAAAGCTATCATTCAGAATTGAAGGTCAGATAAAGAGCTTCACAGACAAGAAAAAGTTAAAGGAGTTCATCAACACCAAACCAGGATTACATGAAATACTGAAGGGTATTCTTTAAGGAGAGGAAGAAGAAGAAGAAGAAAAGTAAAGGTAAAAATTACAAACAACAAAAAGACACAAAATACATACCTACCAACAAGTGAATCTAAAAATCAAGTGAATAAAAAATCTGAAGAACAAAATGGACTGGTAAACATAATAGAATCAGGGACATAAAAAGGGATTGGACTAACAATTCTCAAGGGGTGTGGGAAGAGATTGGACAAGAATCTTACACCTATAGATGAAGACAGGGGCGAGGGTGTAAGGGCATGGGGTGGAGTTGGGGATCAGGTGGAGGGGAGCTATGGGGGAAGAGGGGGGAAAGAGGAACACCTGTAATAATCTGAACAATAAAGATTTATTATAAAAATTTAAAAAAATTTAAAGAAATTTAGAAAATTATGAATTTATATTGACAAATGCTGTGTTGTTGGAAATCTTGGTTTCTTAATAACATTGTTTTATCCTAATAGATTGTTTTATCCTAATAGTTTCTTAATAACATTGTTTTATCCTTATTTAAAATGATAGTATCAATTTGTGTTCATAAAACTATTGAATGCATTTAAGAATTTTTCAGGTCATCATTTAGTTATGCTACCCACTTAACATAGAGAAAGGTTCACTTATTTATAAGGTTCATTTATTATTTTTCTTAAATTTAAAACAATACCATGGTCCAAAGTTAAAACTATATCTACACCAAAGTTCATTCACAGACATGTCCCTTGAGTCCTGTAATTCTCTTCCCTCCTATAGATAATCACTTTGGTTCATTTTTGGTTTGCCCATTGTTCCTTTTTGAGAAAAATACATCTAAACCTATTTTAGTTGTATATTATATAGATATATTCATTTTTCCTTTTTTAAAATACCTTTTTCATCTGTGATTTCATTAAGATTACAAGCGTTTTATTTTAAAATTTTCCTCATTCTTTAAGACAAAATTCTTCAAAGGTGGCGGTTGACCTCAATTACAGTACTGTCTACACCTTTTCTTTTAAACATGCTTAAGCTATTATTTTCAAATCTAAAGATCATTTTTTTGATAGAATATATGCATTCTTTCTAATTTCTGTTAATATTATACAATATACCACAAGAAACTAGCCATTTTTTCTTCTCTCAGAATATAACAATAACAAAAATAATTTGGAATGTATTACATAGTTTCAGCTAATGTCACTCAAATAAACCATACCTTGGAAGCACTGAACTCTCTGTAAAATGTGGTGGTCCATTCACCATGTACAGTCCTTCTGATCCTCGGACTAAAGAAATAAAATGAAAAGAATCACCGTGATTCTGTTAATAAATAGTTACCACAAACATCTTAAAAAACAAAAAGCTTTTGGTCAAAATATTAATAAAATTATGAAACATTTCTTAGACTTTCAGAATGTTAGTGTGTAAAGGACAAATTTTTCTTACCCTATTGCATGAAATCATATAACTGCTGAGAATAAATAGGTAATGCAATAGACTGAATGTTTGTGTCCACCCCAAATCCTCAAATTGATACCCTAATCCCAATGTGATATTTAAAGGTGGGCTCTTTGGGAGGTAGTTAGATCACAAGGGCAGAGCTTTCATAAATGGGATGGATTAGTGCTCTTATAAGAAGAGCCCAGCAAGCTAGCAACTCTCTGTCAAGTCAGGACACAGTAAGTAGTTGGTAGTCTACAACCTGGAGGAGAGCCCTCAGGAGAACACAACCATACTGGCACCCTGATCTCAGACTCTAACCTCTAGAACTGTGAGAAATTAATTTGTTGTTTATAAGCTACCCAATTTGTTATAGCAGTTCAAACTAAGACAGGTAATAATCCTCATTTCTTTTCTTATAAAGCATATTCACTTAATCTCTAAGGAGATTACTTCAATAAATCCACTTTTAATATTTTATAAGAAGTATATGCAAGTACACTGAGATATAACATTCATACTTATATTCCTTCATTCAAATGAAAAAAAGTGATCTTAGTGTTTTTTATTTATTGACTAGTGGCCCGGTGCACAAAATTTGTGCATATTAAGAGGGGATTAATTAGAGGAAATAATTTAATATTGCTATTAGCCCTTTCTCTATAATAATAGAAGTGTCAGAGATAAAAGAAAATTAGTAAAATGTATATGAAAATCTTCTTCCTATCAGTCTGGGACATACCAGAGTCAAGTCCCCGTCCACCCACATGTGCCTCAAAATCACATGTGACCTAGAGCCGTCCTCTCCCCACAACCCCCCGATTGGATAGATCCAGACCTGGCCAATCCCATCCTCGTAAAGCCCCACTAGGTGGAGAGCATGGCCTGAGGTCCCCCATCAAGCCCTGCCAGGCGGGGGGGCGCAGCCTCAGGTCTCCTGGCCTGGCACTGGAAGGGGGGCATAGCCTCAGGTCCCCCATCAAGCCCCACTGGGCAGGGGGCGTGGCCTCAGTTCCCTGACCCAGCACTGGGGTTGCACCTTGAGGTCCCTTGTCAAGCCCCATCAGGCAGGGGGATGCAGCCTCAGATTCCCTAGCCTGGTGCTGGGGTAAAGGGTATAGCCTGAAATCCTCATGTTAAGTCCCACCTGGTGGGGGGCATGGCCTGAGGTCACCTGGCCTGGCACTGGGGCAATGGGAGCAACCTGAGATCCCCTAGCCCAGCACCAGACAGGAAGCACACCTTGAGGTCCCGTCAAGCCCCATGGGAGCAGGGGAGGGTGTAGCCTGAAGTCCCTGCTGATTGCTCATTAAGGCTCCTTATGGGAACTTGGCCTCAGCTGTGGGTACAGCCATCTTTGTGATGGAGTGACAGTCAATTAGCATATTCCCTCTTTATTAGATAGGATTGATTTCAGAGAGAAAGAGGGAGAGAGAAAACATAATTTGTTGTTACACTTACTTATGCATTTATTGAATGCTTGTGTGTGTCCCGACCAGGAATCAAACCTGCAACCTCTGCATATTAGGATGATGGGTCTAACCAACTGAGTTACTTGGCTAGGGTTATTTTCACACTTTTTATCTCTTTTTCAGAATGTGTTGATGTTGGAAACAGAATTAGAAGCTGAGTCTAAGTTCAATCTTCTTTGTATCAGCTTAATTTTTCAAATAACTTTTACAAATAAAAACTCAAAATCTTAACTGCTATCAGTGAAAATGTAGCTGTGCTATAATAGAAGTGACCTGAACTCAAAGGCAGACTTTTGTTTCTATCTGGCTGTGAATCCATAGCTACATCACCTCTAAATCAGTTCCCTAATCTGTGAAAATGAAAACATTAGAACAGAGGGTGGCTGTGTCCGTTTATATAAACTAGAGGCCCAGTGCACTAATTCATGCATGGGTGGGATCTGGCCAGGCCCTAGGGGTCGATTGGGTCCAGGCCAGCCGTGGGGGAGGGGGTTGGTGCAGAAGGTCAGGCTGGTTGGCCGGCCACAGTGCACATCACAGAAACCGGTCATTCCAGTCACTTGGCTTTTATATATAGAGATAATACAGCATATATTCAAAGCCCTTAAAAATGTAAGGCATGGCTGGGCAGCATGGCTCAGTGGTTGAATGTCAACCCATGAACTAGGTCACAGTTTGATTTCTTGGTCAGGTCACGTGCCCAGATTGCAGGCTCCATCCCAGTGTGAATGTGTGGGAGGTAGCCAATTGATGATTCTCATCATTGATGTTTCTAGCTCTCTCCCTCTTTCTTCTGCTCTGAAATCAACAAAAATGTAAGGCATTATTAATATATTTATACTTTCTCAAACTAAGAAAGCAAGTGGGATTAGACACATTCATTTACAAAGTCCCCAGTGATAGTAATGGCTTTAAATATTGTGTGAACAAAACTCAAGATTTAATAAGCATAAACATCTATAGAACTAGATTATACTTTTGAAAATAGCTGAATTAGAAGCTTCTAAAGCTGAATCAACTAAATTCACTCAATATTCAACAAATGCTTATTGGGAGAAAACAACAACAAGAACAAAAAACTACCTCCCAGATGTTGAACTACTAGAAAGATATAACAGGGGAAAAAATCAGCTTTGACCCTGACCTCATTAATCAAATAATTAGTCAAATATATGGAATTTGATACCTGTGTGTAGTGTTACAAAGGAAAGATATAAGGGGCTAATAGAGTGAATAATAGTTGTTTGTTTTTAATGGAAGGTTATGGAATATGTCCTTGATCAAGTAATTTGTGTACTGACATCTGTAGGATGAATAGCAGTTAACAAACAAAGAGAGCAGGAACAAGTGTAAAAATTCATGGCAAGAGAGATGACCAAGCATCAGAGGAAGGGAAAGAAGGTATGTGTGGCTAGAAGGAGATGGAGCTGGAGAATAAAAGAGGGCTCAGATCAAGCAGAATTTTGTGGCCTTGTTAGGCAGTGCTGGTCTCTCACCATAGCCTAAGAAGGGTGGGAGACTTTAAGAGGATTTTAAAAACCAGATTTGCATTTTAAAAAAATCAGTTTAGAGAATAAACTAGAAGGGAGTAAGAGTGGACATGAAGAGACTAATCAAGACAGTTCTACAGTAGCCTCAGAGGAGAGATTAAGGAAACTTGGGCTAGGGTGGGGCAGTGGAAATGGAAGGTAGAGCATGAGTGTTCAATATCCTATCTAATAAAGAGGGAATATGCTAATTGATTGTCACACCTTCACAAAGATGATGCCCACAGCCAATAAGGAGGGAATATACTAATTGACTGCCATGCCCTCAAAGATGGCAGTGCCCACAACCACAAGATGGTGGTGCCTAGTCCCCTCAGCCCCACTGGGGCAGCTCTATGCACCTGCCTCCAGAGTCCCCCAGTTCCTTCTGCCCCCCAGCTGCCTATGGCTGGCCTGAGGTGTAGGCAAGCCTTGGATGGCAGCTGCCCAGACACACAGGGCTGCCCAAGGCTCAGGTAACCAGGGCCGGCTGAGGCTTGTGCTGCCGGCAGTGGCAGCAGCAGAGGTGTGATGGGGGCATCACCTTCTGCTGATCCCTTGGTCACCTCCCGCCCCTGAGGGCTCCCGGACTGTGAGAGGGGGCAGGCTGGATTGAAGGACCCCTGCCCTGCTACCAATGCATGAATTTTCATGCACCAGGTCTCTAGTGTAAGATATAAAACTAATAAGACTTATCCTAGAGATTTACTATTTTATGAGCTAGAGTTACTATTTTATGAGCTAGAATTCAGCAACTGCATAAGAGCTGAAAAGAATAAAAGTTTTACTGAAGTCCACGGCCACAATTACAGCTGCTTCCTTTTCTGCTAGCTATTCACAAATCTTCCACTCTTCTCTTGGTTACTGGGAACACAGCCAACTTGGTAGAGAAGGGCCACTCTTGGCTCCAACTCTAGTCTGTATTTCCTTTTCCTTCTCCAGTTCTTAGATCACTAATATTCTACCTGAAAATTAATAAACTCAATTTTTAGCTATCAAAAATAAAATAATTTTCACTCCCAAAGAAAATAATTTAAAGTCAGAATGAAAGTAAAAGAATTTGCCTGGTTGGTGTGGCTCAGTGGTTGAGTGTCAACCTATGAACCAGGAAGTCATGGTTTGATTCTCAGTCTGGACCAATGCCCAAATTGCAGGCTCAATCCCCAGTGTGAGGTGTACAGGAGGCAGCTGATTAATGTTTCTCTTTCATTACTGATATTTCTACATCTCCTCCCTTTCCCTTCCTCTCTAAAGTCAATGAAGAAATACATTTAAAATACTGAAAAAAGCCTAGCTGGTTTGGCTCAGTGGATAGAGCATAGGCCCATTAGTCAAAGGAATATACCTCTGTTGCAGATTTGATCCCTGGATCTGGTTGGGGCACATGCAGGAGGCAACGAATGGATGTAATGTGTCTCTCTCATATCATACTTCTCTGACTCTCCTCCTCCCTTTTATTCTCTCTAAAAGTCAATGGAAAAATATCCTTGCGTGAGGATTAACAACAACAATAACTACTACTAATAATAACAACAACAATAACAACTAGGAAATTCAATTCTTTAGCATAAAAACGTTTTTATTTTTTTATTTTTATTGATTAGGGAGAGATAGAAACATCAATGATGAGATAGAATTGTGACCTCTTGGTTCATCAGTCGACACTCAACCATTGAACTACCCTGGCAGGCTAGCAAAAAATTCTTAATCACTTCTTGGCCTTTTGACTATTCTCACTTCACAGGCAAAACAATGCTATTTCTTATCATCAAAATCAATCATCTGCTGCAATCTCATGTATGATACAGTATGGTTTAAAAGAGAACAGGACATCCTTTTCTTAATACT